CAAATAAGTAGCAAATATATTAAAAGTAAACAGGGGAAAGGGTTAACTAGAAAAGAACATAATACCTCTGTCTGAACCTAACTGTTTTAACAGGACTCGAGGAATGTTTTTAATCTTCAAGTCAATAAAGGTTAACAAAATAAAATAAACTTCTGAGTTCCTGTCTTTTCTAGAACTTCATCTTTCCTGCTTAAGATATTTTAGAGATATTGTCAGTTCTGTGCCACCCCAGCCAACAGGAAAACTTATTTAAATGTACCAAAAGTAGAAAATTACTTTATGGAAATACTTAAGTATGGCTTCTGGGTGGTATCTCATTTCACCTAGACCAAAACCAATATAAAACCAGCTTCTAGTTAATGATTTCTAGCCCTGATAAGCAAGAAATCGCTCATTTATCTGAGATAAAGATATTTATTATGTCATTTAGAAATGGCTGAGAAAATACTAAGAATCATAGAGTCACTAAAGTTAACTAAAGTCCAAGATCATCAAGTCCAGCTTCCAACTGAACACCACCCTCATCCACTAGGCAGGCCACCTGGTCATGAAAGAATATCAGGTTGGCCAAGCAGGACCTGCTTTTCCTGAATCCATGCTGGCTGGGCCTCACCCCCTGGTTGTCCAGTACATGCTACCTGATCTTATTCAACATCATCTGTTCCATAGCTTTTCCTGGCACTGAGGTCAGGCCAACAAATCCATAGTTCTCCAGATCCTTTTTCTGACCATTCTTGTAGCTGGGTGTCACCTGGTCAGCCTCCAGCCATCTGGGACTCCCACAGTTAGCCAGGACTGATGATAAATGATGGAGAGTGGCCTGGCCAGCCCTTCCACCAGCCCCCTCAGTACCTTCATGTGAACCCCATCTGGCCCCAGAGATGTGTGATTTCTAAGTGGCACAGCAGGACTAACTACTTCCTTCTAGATTGCAGGGGATCTGTTCAGATCCCTATCCCTGTCTACCAGATCAGGGGGCTGGTTGCCATTGGGACAACCAGTCATTCTGTTGAAGACTGAGGCAAAGAAGCATGAATTACCTCAGCCTTTTCCTCATCCTTGATTACAAAGTTCCCCTCCACATTCAATAAGACATTCCATACTACCTGTTCTGTGCCCAAACATTCACCTCTGAAGACCTATTTCCATTATTAAGATGCAGTCTGTACTTGGACAATACAGCCCTTGAAATTCTCCCATCATTAAATTTTCAAAGGCTTTTCTTTAATTGGACTAGAGCTGAACAACTGGAGCTAAGCAGCCTGATATCACCATTTATACAGTCCACAGGCTAAATTCCATCATTTTTAATTTTCTCATGGCTCAGTACAGTAAAGCAAATCTCCATGGACGTTTCATAAAGCCATGCCCTCTGCAAAAAGAAGAGCATCCAAAAGATACACTACCATTTCTTACACTGGTATCAAGGACATCTAGTTCTGCATTTGACCTAATTGTTTAGTCAACCAGACCTTTAGAGTAATTAGACATTTGATATAAAAATATATAAAGAGATAAAAACCCAATTTTTCCAAGTAATATCAGGACTCACCATTGCTACCTTATTGGTGGTCTCATGTGATTAAAAGCTATACTAACTTGCTGCTCAAACTCACACTCAGCGTATGAATTTCTGTATCACACTACTAGAATGTGTTTTACTTCATATTTTCTATACAATATGGACATTGTTAGATCAAGCCACAGGGCATTATGAACTGGAACTCTTATGCCATCTCTGCACAACGAAGGAGACTGATCCACAAATTATATTTGAATACTTAAGAAAACTCCTCAGATTCTTAAAAAACAACAACAACAAACCACAAAACCCCAGCCACATTATTCTAAAAATATATTAAATATCTGTGCCTGACCTCTGGCTGGTATTTGCACGGCTGAGTTCTTAGTGCTATGACTTCATTCAAGGTATTTTCAAGAAAACCTGAACTTCAAAGCAGGTTTGGACAATTACAAACATTTTGGTCATCTCAAAATGTTCACAGTCACTGGACAACAATATGTCCAGTGACTGTGAACATTTTGAGACAACTGATTACTATTTTTATGGTTTTGAAATTATTTCAGACAGAATGAACCCTCAAAAATCTCAAGGTGAAAAAACTTGTGCAGAACAGAAAAAAACATATTTGCCTCTTGCAAAATGTTTTCACAAATATCTTTCTGTTTTCTTTTCATCAGATTTTTGGAAGTTTAAGATCTCATCTTGACTTGGACAGTCTTTAAATTTTATTTTGATTTCTTTTACAAAAATGCCTGGAGGAAAGAAAGCAGCTTTTCTAAAGCAAAAGGGTAATTTTGAAATTTCAGTTGTAGCTTGGAACACTAACAGTTTTTGCAAAGTTAAACACTTGTTTCAAACCAGTATGTAAAAATATAAACCCAAAGAAACTTCAGGCTCCTTACCTGTAAAAGATGAATTAGCATTAAAACATTCACTGCTCTTAGATATTATATCCAACCTGTCTGCAAACTTGTCAAATCCAAGTGTCAGTGTCATGCCCCAGTTACTTTCAGGTACAGTATTTCTTGAAAATAATATTGTATGCCATTACCAACAAACCCATTTATTTTACACACGCAGTGATGGAAAACTATGTGCAAAGGTAACCAACCAGGACTAAATGGGTTTAGTTTCATTTGGTGCATGAGTGGCTTACACATAAAAATTCTATTAATTATATTGTAAATCCCCTGGCACAGCAGGTTGAGCAGACTCACCCTGAAGATAGTTATCAGAAAAGGTAACTGCTGTACCAAGAAATATAAAATAGTCAGAGGCTTCATGGTACTTATTACTTGTAAAATATGAAGGGGAAAAAAGGAGAAGAGGCTGTAGAACACATTCAAAATAGATTAAGGGAAAACCAACGACACTGGGCAAATTTCCCAAGTTTGACCCGTATAGTTAAACAGGAAGTAGGTTACTAAAATCTGCATTGACTAAAGAGTTGGTAAAGATTCAGCTTGTCCACAAGATGCTAGTCACCTCTTCCTCTCCACTGCTGACCTTATTGAATTCCTTTTCTGTAATCAGATACAGAATTCAGTCTCGAGTGCCAGCTGCTGCTTCAGATAAAACATTGCGATGTCCTTATATATGAATTCCTCAGTTGGATATTTTCCGCTTTTTATCTGCACTTGATTTACCAACTCACAAACAGTCATAGCCATGATTTGTATGGCTCAGTAAGGACTTTACTGCCTTTCTTTTATGGAGTATGTCTTGGCAAAGTAGGACTCGACAATCTCTGCGCAGCAGAGGTCCCACTGCAGTAACACTGACCAAACCGGCATCTTCCTATTGGGCCTTGCCAACGCTTCCAGACCAGGGACTGAAAGCCACATATGCTTAACCACTTAATAGTTTACATCTACATCTCTTCAACATTTTGGCAAGATTTCTGCATCATCATTCCCTTGTGTTGATACCACTTCATTTGTTCTCCAGTGTTCAGACCTCTGGGGCTTTCCCTGGAAACTTCTTTGACAGTCATAATTCCAGATTCTTATCCTCAGCTATGTAATGCTCTTCACAACACTGCTCTTCCATATTTGTTACTGTATCCCTTCTCTGATACTGCCATCAAATTTGTTCTCCTGTTCTTTTGAATCTAAAGACACACTGAAAGTAAGAACATGCATTCTTCTGCATGTAAGGCCACTTGCGCTCAAGCCTGTCTTAAGCCACCTGAACGGAGCATCCTCTCCTAAACCAGAGGCACTGCACTGCTCTCCTGCCCTGCATCTCTCTCTACTCACATTCCCTGCAAAGCTCTATAGCACGGAACTAGACAAAATGCACAGCCCAGTATGGCCTCTGAGAGACACTAAATTCACTTAGAAGTTAAAAGGAAATTTTTACATTATTCAGAACCTTTAGTTTGTATATTAGTTACCTAGAAAAAAAGCACAATGCTCTTGTTGCTACTCTCTATTTTCTTTTTATTTATTTAAGTAGTTTTCAAGCTCCTAATGAGTTTCAACTGAAATAATATTTAAAGCTGTTCACTCTCAGGCCACTGTCTTTGTGATGTGCAGCCCTAGCACCAAGCACAACAGGGCACCCTGGCAGTTAACAGAACATCAAAATCAGCTGTAAAAGCACGTTGCAACTTTAGATAATCTTACTGGCTGAAAAAAATTTAAAATCCAATTAAATCAAATTATATTAAACAAAACAGTACAATGAAATAAAGCTGCAAATTCAAAATATTTAACATAGTTAACAGAAGAAAATAATCAATGGAACATACTGTTATGGGAAAAATTATAAACACGTAACCAGAGTTACTATATCATCTGAACAATGTAACCAAGCGTTTTCTAATGAAGCACAGATGTAAAGAAGAGTGAACTAGCACAGCCAATCCATTCGAACTTACACTCCTGTATTCCTCTATTTCTCTGTTAAAATAAACATGACATTTAGAAATTAAAAGAACCTTCTCATTTCCTAAGTTAAATCATGTTCTGTCTGGATTGTAACTACAAGGTGATAATATTGTTATTATTAAAAATATTAAATACATGTATGTCAGGAAAAAAGCTAATACATGCATACATTATATTTGTTTATAATTCACTAAGTATTAGCTACATTTTACATGAAATCCCGAAGTATATTTATTAGAAATTCACTGGCCCTCTGCATTGTGGAAGCCCATGCATGGCATGAACACATTGCTGGGGAAACTGAATGGTTTGGTTAGGAAAGCCAGGTTTATACAGCAGAGCAGAATCACTGTGGAACCTGCTTCCACCCATAATGGAAACTGTACACTATGGGATCACTCAAATCTTCCCAGACACTTCCTGCTCACGTTCAGCATTACTGTCCTGCAGACACTTCAACATGCAGGGTAAATGCAGCTAATAAGCATAATTAGCTCAGACAGTGTATTTTAATTTAGTTTTGCACTAAAGAGTAATTGCCTACTCAGCGAAGGGGAAGTGTAACATTTTTTTAAGATGCTTACCCGAGGGCCCTGATCACCTTGATCTCCCTGCAAAGTGGAAAGATGAGATGATAGGTTTAACACAGCATCTGTGTGCTACCCAGCTCTCTTACATAATCTAACATTTCACTGCATCAATACAAACAGTCTCTTGGGAGGGCTTTCCAGTCACCTTGTAAGGATCACCTGAACATCAACTCACCTTCTCGCCTTTTGGACCAGGAGGGCCCTGAAAGAAACAAAGGTAAAGATTAATTACTGATGCTGATGAAGTCCTGGGATACAGCAAGAAACAGGTCTGTGTCAATCTGCAATTTCTTCTCAATAATATATTTCCTTATAATTTCTAACTCCGAATGCCAGTGCTATTCCAGAGATGGAGTCTTCATTGTACTAATAATAGGAACTGCGCACTACTTCTTTAATAGTTTGCTAATGTGTGTTGAATCAGTCTACTTAGACAAGCAAAACTATGCCTGAAATGGCAAAATATCTACAGATTTCACTTAGAGACAATAGTTTATCTCCTATCAAATTAAAAAAAAAAAAGTTTTCTTAGACTGTAAAATTTCTTTGCAAGTGCACTTAATAAATTCAAATACATATAAATCTGTCATGTATTTTGGCACCCTCCTTGTATTAGATTGCCAAAGAAAAATGGATTTGAAATTCTAAAAGCAGGGTTTTCATTCCTTTCTTTGGCAATACTGATGTTTAGTCTCAAGCAGACTGTTTAGGCAAAATGAGCACTTTGTGTAACATGATTTTGCAGGAGTATTAATTTTTGTTACTCACCACCTAACAAACAGTAAGGTAACAGAACCACAAATAGGAAGTCCTTTCCTATTCCATTTTTATTGAGCACTTTCCAGAAAGCTGGCAGCAGGTTTCTAAACCACTAGTTTTTCAGGTTAGTATCTTGTGAATAAAAATGCTATCAGTCTGCAAAAAACTGTCTGCTTACACAGTGCAGACTCTACCTCCAGCTTTCTGAAAGATATGCAGGTGTTTCATTACAAAGAAGGACCTGAGATACATATGAAAGCAGCTGCAAACAGAGAAGGAGCCATTCAAGCCAGCATGGTTCACTGTGATAACACAAAGAGAGTGTGTGGCAGTGTGTGTGTGTGTTTGTGAGGGTTTATGCAGAACAAGAAAAGATTGTCACTAACAACACTAGCAAAAATTCATGTGGTTCACATAAAATGCAGTGGAATGGAGGTCAGTCTGCTGTGCACTAAAGACGTGAGCAACCACAGGCAAGTCTTTGAAAACCACTGTTGCAGCCAATTTTCTGCTTAGTTTTAAGGGCTTCTGATGCATGTCAGAGAAGAGCATCTGCTGCTGAATCAAAGGAATTAAAGCATATGCTTCTCCTTCCATGGCCATCTCTTCTGTCTGCTGCAGAGGACACAGGAACAAGTCTGCCTCCTGATGTCCCCAAGTCTCCTTCAGAAAGGACAGTGGGAACTGCCAGCTGAGTGGAAACTCTCTGCTCAATTAACTATGACCCCTGCCCACTTTGCATTGCCTTGCAAGCACTTGGCCTCTTTAAAAACAAATTAAACAAAATAATTTAATTAATAGATAAAATCTGGCTGCACCTTTAAGGTCTCTCCATATATATATTTTTTTAATGCTTTAAATCCCACTGTCCTTTCCCAGTTCGCAAGTTCATATAAATACATACCAAAAACTAAGTGCAGCACTGTCTACTTTTAGCTACAGTCTCCACATACACGTACTGTGACGTGACATTACAGCAGAGCAGGTCTGCTTTAAAGCTTACACATACATGCCACTGAGCTTGTGAATTGAACTCATACCATCAGTAAGACAGTAATTGCAAGATGGGAAGAACTAAAATCAGTCGGTGCAGGCTGCTGCTGCCTTCACAGTGAACGCGAAGCACAAGCAAAGGGTTGTGCTCACGTGTTCTCCCTCCTTGAATTATCAAGCCATTACTGGCTCTGAATATCTCACTGGCTGCAAAGTGCAAATAGCATGACCCCTATCTGCTACAGTCAGAATCCCATTTCTCGGGCCTTAGGCATGAAATTATAGGTAACGTGACACGACTGAGACTGTAAACAGATGTTGTCTTGTGGGAGCTGTTGCTGCCTTCATTTAGATGCTCAGTGCCGCTCTTACACCCAAGACTAGCCCTGCTTCTGACGGGTTTTGGCTCATAACTTTTCTGAAGCGGGTTTTGCCACAGCTCTGCCGATTGGCAGAAACTACAAAAAGAGAGATCACAGCAGCTGCCCGAACTAAGCTGGCTCACTGGAACAGAAACAAGTTAGAGCTCACATGAGGGGCTCAGCCACCAGATCTGCAGGACTACTGCACTGTCTCCCTGTTATGATTGCTGGCAATTATGTTCAGCCATCTCCAGCACACAAGTTGCCCCTTCCTCTACCCTGCATACTTTCCTCTGCTAATAATTCTCTGAAAGTACAACCTATGCCCAAACAGGCTTTTTAATAAGACTGAAGTACATATCTCTTTTTTTTGTCTCCCTTTTCTATGCAGGATTTTCTGAATATGATCTGTGCACATCATAACCAGAATTTGTTTTGGTTTTTATTGCTTTGTGTTTTCTTTCCCTGAGTGGCAAACACCATCATCTCTAGCAAGTCACCCTTCCAGCACACAAATTTTTCATAAAAGTCTTCATAAACATCTGACAATTTTATTGTACCAGGGATGAAAAACAGCTTTTCAAAAGCCCACAAAAGCACTTCTGGTGTGAACATTCTCACAAGTCTCTTCATTTATATTCACAATGCTTTTGCTTTCCACAGGAGTCCTCAAAAACAAACAAACAAATGCAAATGAAAATGGCTTTTCTGGATGCAAGTGAAGAGAACCAGTGGGTTTCATCAAAATAAAAATTAATGGAATACTTTCATAGCTTGTTCATCCATCTCTGGCGTTTCCCCCACTGTTTCAATTGTCCTCTATTGTTTTTGCAACTTTAAAAAGAAAATTCCTATCCTCAGCCTTTGACATCTTCTTTCCATTTCTGCTGAGAAAGTCTCCCAAGGTTTTTTTTTACTGCAGAGTTTATGAGTGTGTGTACACTGAGTGGAGGCAAGGAGGAAGAAAAATCTGAGAGAAAGTTGGGTTTGTGGGGGTGGGGCGTGATTAGGAGACAGATTTGTTTAAAGGAGGGCAAGGTTTCTTCTGTTTAAGGGTACAGACACAAAGCACGGAGTGAGTAAAATAACACAAGTTGTGTAGGCCACAGCACGGACTTGCTGCTTTTTTTCCCAGGGAGACTTCTGTGCTTTCGTTTATGAGATGGCAGAGATCAAGCGGCGAGCTGCCGAACAAATGTGAAAGCATTTTGTGTAAGTTATATGAAACGTCTGAGGTCAGAGCATTTCTGAAATAACTTCACAGTGTTTTCACTAGAAACAGAGGCTCTTTTCTCAAAGTGTAATTATCTACTCCAGACTACTATACATTTCCAAGGAGAGTTTATAGCCTGTTTCACATAAGCAAGGCCTTGTAAATCTCAAACACATGCAAAATCTGCATTAATAATTAGGCAAAAAATACTACTGTTTTTAAAACAAAGTCTCCTAAAGCAGACTGAAAGAACTCCAGGCACCTGTCAGCTAAGAACAGAACCAAAATTAGGGTCAAATCCAAAATCCAGCCCTATTCAGGATTACTGACAGGTGACCTCCCCCACTTTTTTCTTTTTTTTTGCTATCAAAATCCCATTTCCATACTCTGATAAAATTTTACATTATTATAAATACGTGTACAGGAATAGAAAGGCAAGAGAACGCAATACTAGAAAACAGGAGGCTATTCCTTGTAGTCTTCATCAGGCAACTTTCCCTTAAAATTAACTGAGTGTGATCAGCATGATTTTTTTTCACACAGATGAAATTTTATAATTCATTCCCTGAAGGATGCTAATTTTGTATTCCACCCTTGAGTCCATTGCCACCTATATAGTTTTGCAAATTTTACATCCAGAGGCCTCTTAAAAAGCCAGTAGTTGACTTATACTGGTTTTACAAACATTCATAATTATCAAAATTCTCTTACAGATATCTTCCCTCCACATACCTATTGCTACAGATCTGCCTTTAGCCATAACACAGAAAGTTCTGCTGAAAACTCACCCAAAAGGCTCCAAGCATTGATGGGATAGCAGAACTGAAAATAGTAAGGGATTCTTAGTACAGAGCACAAAGCAATGTTGAAGGTTCTGTAAAAAGCTCCACAGTCAGCACAGAGGAGTGCAGATTTTTCCTGATTGTTAGACAGCAAATATGATGCCTCTGTAAAAAGGACCAGCCAGTCCCCAGCATAAGTTGGTGACAACTAACCAACAAAATAACCAATAGAATCAGTTGGGCTGTGACAGTCCCAGGTCCCATTGGCATCATCCATCCTCACAGCTCCTAAGAAACATGACATATCAAACTTGATCAACTCCCATCAGACAGAGCTACCACAGCAGACACGGGTGATAAAACCTTTCAGACACAGTCACTGCTTTCTAACATTCCCACCACAACAGCCACAGGCTAAGCAAGCTGGCAGCTGGAGGACTGAATGCAGTTTGCAAGGTTCAGCCTACATTTTCAGTTGGGATCGAGGGGCACACAGTGCAGCCATCCTTACCAGCACCCACAGTGTGACTGGCAGCCTAAGGCAACAGCAGCCCTGCAGAAACGAACAGAAACGTGAACCAGCTATTCCAATGTCACCCAGACAAATCCAAAAGGGGAACGAATTTTCCAGCTTAGTTTAACCACGTTTTCACAACTAAACAGTATGCCATTATTGCCTGAGTCAACTCAATATTGCAGATTACTTCAAAAGTAAAAGGTAGCTTTAGCACGTAACAACAAAATAATCAGATACAAAAGCTGAATTTTCTTTCTTTGAAACTTGACTCATGACTTCGATAAATTACAAGAATCTGACTGAAACAACAGTCCCCAGCCTATCCTGTAATTGCTGCAAAATATTAGGATGATATGCTGAATCAAAGGAGGTTACATTATGCAAACACCACTGTGTTTCATAACTATTTCAAAGTTCCTACACTCAGTTCAGTCTTGTGTCCACTATGCAAACCCTGAACTACTGAGGCAATGCGGTTTTGGCATCTGCTGAGCTTGGCCATGTTCAGCCAATGTTTACATATGCTAGTTTACAATGCCAACATTTCACCTTGCAACAATTTTACAAGTACTCAGA